CCAGAGACAAGGACACGGGAGGCCATGCTTCGGAGACGAAGCAGGGAGGGGTGACCAAGGCGGTGGTGCCAGAGGAGAGTCTCATGAGACAGGAGACGACACGAGCAGGGGGCAGACTCAGGACCAGACCTGGACGCTGCAGCAAACACCTGACCCGACGCAGCTACCTGACCAGACGCAGTGACTGGAGCAGACGCAGTGGTCAGCATGTACAGGTTCGACCCCGGCCAACGTGTAAACGTGGCTAGGTGTCGGCCTGTCCGAGCGTCCGTGCAGTGGGTCACCCGGTGACTCGCAGGAGTGAACTGGTGAACCCCCGCATCCTGTAGGTCAGCACCACTCACCAAGTTCGTAGAGAACGAGGGGAGGTAAAGACCAGACAGGGTGTCAGAGGGGGCCGCCGGACACGGGAGGATAGTGGAGAAGTGAGCAAGGACAGGACCCCCAGAGGGGTCTGCCAGAGAGGCTGCAACTGGCCGACCAGGCGGCGTGAGTGTGGTGCGGTCTCGAAAGAAGGAGTGGGAAGCCCCCGAGTCAAGAGTGAAGGTGTGAGAGGCCGGAGCCGACGCGGTACCTGAGAGAGCACACTCACCCGCACCTAAGGAAGCAGACTCACTAGCACCTAGAGCAGCCGCCGCACCTGTACCTGGAGCAGGAGACTCACTAGCACCCAGAGCAGCAGCCTCACCAGCAGCTAAAGCAGCAGGCCCTTATACCCGGGTCAGGCGGTACGCACAGGTGACCGGCACGGTCAGCACTAGTAGGCAATGCATACATGGCAGTGAGAATAGCATCATAGTCAAGAGAAAATATATCTACCCTCTTCCTAAGCAACTCCTCCCAGTCGGGGAACTCAGCCTCGTCGCCAAACTTGGTATGCCAGGCGTCGCTCAGACGGGCGAAGCAGCGGGACTGTGTGTGACTAGGTGTCCTACAAGGCTGACCAGTCCGAGCACCAGTGCGAATCACGTAAGAGCAGCGAACAGAATTGAGAGACCCTCTACTCTGAGCGTACCACTCACGAAGTTGCAGGGGCGTCGCTGGAGCTGCATCTGACTGCCGCCAGTAGTAGTAGCAGCAGAAGTGGTAGCAGTAGCAGCGCCGCCACCCCTACAACCCCAACCAGCGTACCACTCACGCAGCAGCTGGGGCGTGCGGGACTTACGCGGACGTCGCCGGAGCTGCATCTGGCTCCGCCAGTAGAAGCAGGAGCAGGAGTAGCAGCAGTAAGGCAGGCAGCCAGGAAGGCCGAAAGGCAGGCAGGCAGGCAAGCAGGCCGGGGGCAGCGCGCTAGCAGGGCAGGGGCTCACGAGTGGTGGGAAGAGCAGGCTCGGCGACTCGGCGGTGCGGGCGGCTCGGGCGGCTCGGCGGCACGGCGGCTCGGCACCAACTGCGGCTCGGCGGCTCAGGCAACTTGGGCGGCTCGGCGGCAACTGCGGCTTAGCGACTCGACGGCTCGGGTGGCTTGGGCGGCTCGGGCGGCTCGGCAGCAATTGCAGCTTGGCGACCCGGCGGCTCGGGCGGCTCAGATGGCGCCGCGGCTCGGGCGGCTCGGTAGCAGCTCGGCGGCGCCGGCGGCTCGGTGGTGACGGCGGGGCCGCTTGGGGACGGCGGCGGGGCCAGGTGGAGCGGCAACGGGGCCAGCAGAGGTGGCGCCGGGGCCACTGGGTAGGTGATGGGTCCAGCAGAGGCGGCGCCGGGGCCGGGAAGGGCAGCGCCTGGGCCAGGAAGGGCGGCGTCGGAGCCGCAGAGGTAGGTGACGGGGCCAGTAGAGGCGGCGCCGGGGCCGGTAAGGACGGCGTCGGGGCTAGTAGAGGTGGCGCCGGGGCCGTAGGGGTAGGCGACGGGGCCAGCAGAGGCGGGGCCGGGTCGGGAAGGGCGGCGTCGGGGTCGCCGGGGTAGGCGACGGGGCCAGCCGAGGTGGCGCCGGGGCCAGGAAGGGCAGAGCCGGGGCCGCAGGGGCAGGCGACGGGGCCAGCAGAGGTGGGGCCGGGTCGGGAAGGGCGGCGTCGAGGTCGCCGGTGTAGGCGACGGGGCCAGCCGAGGTGGCGCCGGGGCCAGGAAGGGTGGAGCCGGGGCCGGGATGGGCGGCGCCGGGGCCACAGGTGTAGGTGACTGGGCCGCGAGGGCGGCATGACGCAGCTGCTAGGGCGGCGCGACGAGATGCGGCCGCGACGGGGTAGCGGGGAGTGGCGCGCCTAGGAGGAACGGGGTCGCGCGCCTCGGGGAGCGCGCCAGAGAGAAAATCGTCGCGCGCCGTTGAATAGGTCGCACGCCACGGGGCGTGCGACAGATCGAGTAGCAGCGGAAGCACTAGTAGGGCCCACGGGCCAGGAGCATATGTGCTCTGAAACCATGTGGGAATGAACGAGAAATGGATTGACTAAGTGAAAGTTGGGTACAAATACAAACCCTAGAAAGCTGTACCCCATATGTGCTACCCCACTATAGCCTACAATAGCTATGTCATATAAATCTGACGTGAACGCTTTGTGAAAATTACTTTCCATGCCATATTCAGATTGGAGTATGCCGCTTGTTTCCTAAAATTGTTCATACTGCTCGTTTTGACATGACAAAGACGATGACTGGCTGCAACAACGATGGTGCAGCGGGTGAGACCGACAATCACGGAATTGACGTCGGAGAGAATTTGCCCCGTTGGACTGGGCGGCGAAAACGGAAACGTGGCGGAGATGAAATAAACGCCGGCGATGAGGAGAGTACGGTGGCACAGTGCTTCTCCTCGAATTTCTTCCATGTGATGATGCGTTGCGCGGTGCTGTTGAAAGCGGGCACCCCTATGAAACCCGAAGTTGTGGCAAAGGAAATTGGGACGGCACCTAACCACTGGGCAGGTGACCATCCCGAGTGTGGACGGAACGGGAGTATTCCTCCAAGGTGTGTTGCCAAGAAGTGGGGCAGGGAGTGTGCACTTTATGAGCCTGGATCAGAAACGCACAAGGCGGTTCTTGCATGGTTCAAGAAACGGTGTTCGCCAGACAAGGTGAAACCCTATTTTCACGGAGCCAACAGTTCCAAAAACGAGTCTTTCCATTCCCTGATAATTAAATACACTGCTAAGCGTATCAGGTTCAAAGGTAGTCTTGAGGCACGAATGGGGCTGGCTGTCCTGCATTGGAATAACTCGATGGACAGGCTGGTCACATTGTATCGCACTCCTGTATGGCAAGTAACTCGAGTGCGACGGGGCAACAAGGATCGAACCCTCGGACCTATGGATTGGTCTTGGGTTGATCGGATTATGGAGGACTGGCAACGATCGCTGGGGTTTGGAGTCAACGATGAGATTATGGAGACAGCCCCAAAGAGGCAGGCGCAACATCCTGTCGACTTACCTTGTGGAGGGCGACACCCATCTGTTGTTGGGCCGGTTACTCCTGTGCGAGAAGGTGGCTTAGTCCGCGGCCTTACTTCGACGCGCGGTGCTGGGCGACGTATTTTATGTAAGATCCGTACCACATTCTCGCCAACCCTTACTCTTGTCTTATGTAATATATTTTGACGCTTCCCTCTAGCGATCATGTTGCAGGTGATGCCACCAACCATCCTCGGTAAACGTTTTGGAAACACTTACGCCGACGTGGAGGGGTCTAAATCACCATTTTGTCCAACACGCCACGTCAATTTAGATGTCGGCAATGCCGGTGAGCGCCTTTGAGGGTAATAGTGCCTATCCTTGTCCATATCACTACTGCCTTCACCCATAACATGTGCATCTCTCGCTTTGCCCTCTATCTTCACTTTCAGACCCAGTGTGCCCTCTCCCAGCATTGTCCCATGCTCCCATCCTACTCCCTTCAATGCCCATCTCCGCCCTCATGATTCAATTCCCCAGTCTAGTCATTCTAAACCCTCCAGTTCAGTCAATCATAGAGCATTATTTCCCCCTCTCATTCCAACCTTGTTCTCTCAGCTCCTGGACGTGCTTTTGGGGAAGGATACTGGTGTGGAGTTGATGCCATACGAGTAGAGGGCCATGGTGGTGGCTTCGCGCCTGACCCCAAAGGAGGCCTTGGCGCCCTTTGATGTCAGCCGAGTCGTGGACCCCTCCGAGCACAACCTCAACCACCAATAGGTGCGAGAGCCATCAGTCATGCGAATTAACGGTACATGAGACAGCGTAAGTCAAGTGCAAACTAGTGATTTATCATTTACCATCATGTATCTTTTGTAAACCCTTCGTTTGTTTTTGTCGACTTAGCATGCATTGTGATACTACCCAATTATCCCCTTTGCAACAAAATACAGGCTGCTCCTACTCCATCCGGTTCCATGTCTTCTTGGTTCTAACCTTTGATGCATAATACAACCACTAATTTATCTTTTTGTGCTCGTTTCACTATTATGGCACTAATGTTGCCCATGCCTCACACCCCTCCCCACACATGCGTTCAACCAGCTGCATGGACTATATGTCAAGAGCTTTCAAGGTCAGAGGTGGCCCCTTATTGCTCCCAACGTGGTGCTCTCATTACCATTCCTCTCTTTCTTTGCTCATGTTTTGCTCCACTGAACTGCAGATCCATTTGGTGTCCGGAACATTTTTGTGTTTATTGGAAATTTCCACGGCATACAAGACATTACCACCACACGATTGAGCCTATGTAGCCTACAGATACTACACCTCCTACCTGCATGATTTTGGCAGCAACAGTTTGCACCTTCTAAAGCAAGTACGGTAGTTTGATGTTTTTGCTCATGACTCAGCATAATTAGCACGCGTGTGTGTCAAGTGGCTCAAGTCACAGCAGGCGTATACATGTATAAAGGATTTTTCACTGAATTTTGGAATCCACATTTATGCGGATGAGCACTTGTCCACCAAACATGTTTGCCTCAATGGTCCTGGTTTCAAGAATGGCACAACATAAGCTCTCCTGCAGTGAGAGTCAACGATGATAAAATTGAGTGCCATCATATGGTGTACGAGCCAACAGGTGGTGTTGGAGGTGGACAACCCCCGGTCTCCATCCACATCACTGCATTGTCTTCTGTTGAGGGAGGAGGTGTGATGGCGATGAGCTTGCTGACAGTTGCCACACATGGGGAGAGGGTGAGGGAAAGGGAGGCAGAGGGTGGGGGGAAATAGGAGGGAGGGTGAGGAAGGACAGGGAAGGCAATGGTGGTAGTAGGGGATAGGTATACGGGGAAGGGGGTGAGGAAGACGAGGGACAGGGAGAAAGGCGATGAGGAGAAGGGAAACAGAGAGAAGGGGGACAGAGAGAATATGAACTGAGAGGACGGGAGGATGAAAGGACAGGGGCATGTGAGGACAAGAGGACGAGAGGACAGGGGGGCGAGAGGTCAGGGGGACAGGGGGATGAGAGGACGGGGGGACGAGAGGACAGGCGGATGAGAGGACGAGGGGATGAGAGGATAGGGGGACGAGAGGACAGAGGGATGAGAGGACGGGGGGATGAGAGGACAGGAGGACGAGAGGACAGGGGACGGGGGGATGAGAGGATGGGGGGACGAGAGGACAGGGAATAGGGGGATGAGAGGACGGGGGGGTGAGAATGAGAGGACAGGGGGATGAGAGGACAGGGGGATGAGAGAACAGAGGGATGAGAGGATAGGGGGATGAGAGGACGGGGGGATGAGTGGACAGGGGGATGAGAGGACAGGGGGATGAGAGGACGGGGGGATCAGAGGACGGGGGGATGAGAGGACGGGGGGATGAGAGGACGAGGGGATGAGAGGACGGGGGGATGAGAGGACAAGGGGATGACAGGGGACGGGGGGATGAGAGGATGGGGGGACGAGAGGACAGGGAACAGGGGGGTGAGAGGATGGGGGGATAAGGGGACAGGGGGGTGAGAGGACAGGGGGATGAGAGGACGGGGGGGTGATAGGACAGGGGGGGTGAGAGGACAGAGGGATGAGAGGACAGAGGGATGAGAGGACAGAGGGATGAGAGGACGGGGGGATGAGAGGACAGGGGGATGAGAGGACAGGGGGATGAGAGGACGGGGGGATGAGAGGACAGGAGGACGAGAGGACAGGGGACGGGGGGATGAGAGGATGGGGGGATAAGGGGACAGGGGGGTGAGAGGACGGGGGGATGAGAGGACGGGGGGGTGATAGGACAGGGGGGGTGAGAGGACAGAGGGATGAGAGGACGGGGGGATGAGAGGACAGAGGGATGAGAGGACGGGGGGATGAGAGGATAGGGGGATGAGAGGACAGGGGGATGAGAGGACGGGGGGATGAGAGGACAGGAGGACGAGAGGACAGGGGACGGGGGGATGAGAGGATGGGGGGACGAGAGGACAGGGAATAGGGGGATGAGAGGACGGGGGGGTGAGAATGAGAGGACAGGGGGATGAGAGGACAGGGGGATGAGAGGACAGGGGGATGAGAGAACAGAGGGATGAGAGGATAGGGGGATGAGAGGACGGGGGGATGAAAGGACAGGGGGATGAGAGGACGGGGGGATCAGAGGACGAGGGGATGAGGGGACGGGGGGATGAGAGGACGAGGGGATGACAGGGGACGGGGGGATGAGAGGATGGGGGGACGAGAGGACAGGGAACAGGGGGATGAGAGGATGGGGGGATAAGGGGACAGGGGGGTGAGAGGACGGGGGGATGAGAGGACGGGGGGGTGATAGGACAGGGGGGGTGAGAGGACAGAGGGATGAGAGGACAGAGGGATGAGAGGACAGAGGGATGAGAGGACGGGGGGATGAGAGGACAGGGGGATGAGAGGACAGGGGGATGAGATGACGGGGGGATGATAGGACAGGCGGACGAGAGGACAGGGGACGGGGGGATGAGAGGATGGGGGGACGAGAGGACAGGGAACAGGGGGATGAGAGGACGGGGGGGTGAGAGGACGGGGGGTGAGAGGACAGAGGGATGAGAGGACAGAGGGATGAGAGGACAGGGGGATGAGAGGACGGGGGGATGAGAGGACGGGGGACGAGAGGACAGGGGGACGAGAGGACGGGGGGATGAGAGGACGGGGGACAGGGGGATGAGAGGACTGTGGGATGAGAGGACGGGGTGATGAGAGGACAGGGGGATGAGAGGACAGAGGGATGAGAAGACAGAGGGGTGAGAGGACAGGGGGATGAGAGGACGAGGGGATGAGTGGACGGGGGGATGAGAGGACAGGGGGATGAGAGGACGGGGGGATGAGAGGACGGGAGGATGAGAGGACGGGGGGATGAGAGGACGAGGGGATAAGAGGACGAGCGGATGAGAGGACGGGGGGATGAGAGGATGGGGGGACGAGAAGACAGGGAACAGGGGGATGAGAGGATGGGGGGATGAGAGGACAGGGGGATGAGGGGACAGGGGGATGAGAGGACGGGGGGATGAGAGGACGGGGGGTTGACAGGACAGGGGGGGTGAGAGGACAGAGGGATGAGAGGACAGAGGGATGAGAGGACAGAGGGATGAGAGGACGGGGGGATGAGAGGACAGGGGGGTGAGAGGACAGGGGGATGAGAGGAAAGGGGGATGAGAGGACGGGGGGATGATGGGACAGGCGGACGAGAGGACAGGGGACGGGGGGATGAGAGGATGGGGGGACGAGAGGACAGGGAACAGGGGGATGAGAGGACGGGGGGGTGAGAGGACGGGGGGTGAGAGGACAGAGGGATGAGAGGACAGAGGGATGAGAGGACAGGGGGATGAGAGGACGGGGGGATGAGAGGACGGGGGACGAGAGGACAAGGGGACGAGAGGACAGGGGGACGAGAGGACGGGGGGATGAGAGGACGGGGGACAGGGGGATGAGAGGACAGTGGGATGAGAGGACGGGGTGATGAGAGGACAGGGGGATGAGAGGACGGGGGGATGAGTGGACGGGGGGATGAGAGGACAGGGGGATAAGAGGACGGGGGGATGAGAGGACGAGGGGATGAGAGGACGGGGGGATGAGAGGACGAGGGGATAAGAGGACGAGCGGATGAGAGGACGGGGGGATGAGAGGACGAGGGGATGAGAGGACAGGGGACAAGGATGAGAGGATGGGGGGAAGAGAGGACAGGGAACAGGGGGATGAGAGGACGGGGGGATGAGAGGACGGGGGAATGAGAGGACGAGGGGATGAGAGGACAGGGGACAGGGGGATGAGAGGCTGGGGTAATGAGAGGACAGGGGGGTTTTTCGCGGGAGGGGAGGGAGGCCGGCGGGAGGGGGGAAAAGAGTTGGCGACGGTGGGGAAAAGAGTTGGCGACGGTGGGGAAAGCGTTGGCGACGGTGGGGAAAAGCGTTGGCGACGGTGGGGAAAAGCGTTGGCGACGGTGGGGAAAAGCGTTGGCGACGGTGGGGGGAAGCGTGGGCGACGGGGACGAAGCGTGGGCCACGGTGGGAGGAAGCGTGGGGGACGGTAAGAGGAAGCGTGGGCGACGGTAAAAGGAAGCGTGGGCGACGGTAAGAAGAAGCGTTGGTGACGGTGGGCTGATTGCGGGGGTGACGGTCGGAAGAAGCGGGGACGATGAGCGTGTGTGAATGTGGGGGAAGGCATGCGCGATGGTCAGCGGAATTGTGGGTGCACCCAGGGAGCAGGAGGCAGCGACGGTAAAGGGGAAGCATGAGCGAAGGTGAGGGAAAGGGTGGGGGGAAGCCTAGGCGTGTGCGTACGGTACGCAAAAGGCGAATGGGTGCGAATGTGATGTTTGAGGAAGGGCGATACCAGGGCGACCGAGTGAGGCAACGCGATACACCGTCGCGTTGCTGTCATACCGAGGCGCTACGACGGGAAAATAAGTCGGGGACCCCGATTTTTTTTTTGGATTTTCACTACTCCGAATTCCAGAGCTATTTTCTAGAGAACGGTGAAATTCAGGATTCATTATGAGCATTACTCTGATTTGTCAGAGAAAACTCAACTTCTGAAAAATATACTCTGGGAATCCAAAGTATCGTATTCTTCCGGACATAACACCCTAGGGTATAGCTAAAAATACAGGGAAAAAATGGGGGGGGGGTCTCCTCATAGGAAAAAAATACATAATACCGGGGTCTTTACATATGGCATATTTTAGTGTTAGTGTTTTTTTAGTTAGTCAATGTGGGTGTTTTGCTGGTCGTTTTAGCATCACTGCCTGAGGCACGTGTTGGGAATACAAACGCATGACTTAGTGCGTTTCTGTAGTATCGAACCTCACCCGATACTGAAGCACAACAAAAGGAGTATGAAGTCGAAAGGGCGCATACCACATTCAACCGCAACTGGAGGTTGCAAGTTGTAACCGCCTGGAGGTTACGCAACAGCAGGCGACGCTTCAGTGAACAGTAACTTCCTCGATAGTCGAAGCGTTACGCGTCTCGACAAACACAAACCGCTTCCTGTAATCTATCCTTTCCTATATATTCTTGTATGCTCTTTACTTTAATCAATTACTTGTTCTCACATACTAGCACAAGTACATTCACCTAAAAGACTTCCGCTGTGCTACTCTAGCACCTATTAGCCTATTCTCTGCAAAGATCCTTTGGCTGAAATTCTCAGCCCAACATGGTATGAGAGCGGTCAGAGAACAAAGGCTCTCGTCACTAAGTCTCTTCCAGACTACCAATCTGCAAGCAACCAAGAAATTTTAATCTTCATTCAAGAAAAGAAAGACATGGCAAGCGGCAAGGAAAGAAGATCATCTACGGGATCTACTCTACCCCCGGTCTCCGAGCTGCAGACCGAAGGAGGAACAACGCCCGGATTAACGCCGGAAGCGACGGAACGTTCTGTTCAAGCGCCAGTAGCGCCGCCAACAACCTTCAACCCAAACTTAATGGAGGAGTTCTTCAACTTCATGTCGCAGCAGCAGCAGTCCTCACAACCTGCAAACAGCAACAGCGTAAACAACGGAGCGGCACCAATGAGTATTGACAACTCATCGTTCGGACGACACAATCAACAAACACCAAATTCAATCTCACCTGGTTCCTTCACGTTCATGCCGCCCCGCCATCCAGCGACTCCTCTTCCCGCCATCAAACGAGACACCGAAGAGGTCCTGCAAGTACAAGCACAGTTCAACAACATCCTGCGACTGCACACATCCACACCATTCAACGGGAAGGACTTCTACTCTTGGAGCTTCGAGTTTGAACTCCTGATGGAAGGCGCAAATCTCCTCAGACTCTTCAATGGTACCTGGCCATACCCACACCACGGCGAAGACAAGGACAAAGAGAATTATACGTATCACTCCCTGATGGCCTACACAATTCTTCTTCGAAACCTGTCGCCGAACGAACAACAAAGCATCCGCGCCTACCGGAACTACGCGAACTCCGCGGAACTCGCTTATCAACATCTGCGAAGCATTCATCAAGCATCCAACAGCGTTACACAAAGCCAACTCATGGCTCAATTGACAACAGTTCAAATGCAACCTAGCGAAAAGGCCATGCCTTACATCAGTCGCTGTCAAGGACTACGCGACAGACTTATTCGCTGCGGAGGAAACTTATCTGAAGAAGCCTTCGTAACCGTCGTTCTTGCCGGCCTTGGACCCCAGTGGCGTACCACCCGTTCACTCCTTCGCGCTCACGGTCGACTCTCCGAAATGCATCTGTGCGCCGAACTTCACGCCGAGCAGCAAGAAATGGACCTGTTCGAAGAACGCAACAACAAAAGGCATCATCAACCAGTTGTTCTTTACACCAATAGACGACAACCACGTTACCAAAATTGAGGACACGTGCCTCCTTATTGTCATCTGTGTCGAGCTTCAGGACACACACGCTTCAACTGCCCTCAGCAACAACGGCAACCAGCACCATTCTCCCGTCCTTTGCGACCCGCGCCTCCCCACATCGCGTCAACTCAACAACGACCCGCTGCCGCTTCAACGACTACTTCAACGCGTCCGTCAACTTCAACTTCGGGACCTGCACAGACATCAAGGATCGTCGCCATGACACGAACAAGAGAGACAAATATCGACTCGTGCATTACCGGCTCACCACCGACTTACAGCCCTGATGAGCAACCGTCACCACCACCGTCGTCTCTTAACGTGAATCCAACGTACGCCGCCATCGCGAACAAAGCACCCACCGGACAAGACACATGGTTCCTCGACAGGTGCTGTGGTCATCACATGTGCTCCTCATCACGATTTCTTCAACGCGAACGACGCCTTCCACGAGACATCATCATCACCGTCGCCAACAATGAAAACCTGCGCACAAACAAACAAGGCATTGTGGAGCTTCAGTCAAACGAAACAAATGTGATTCTTCAACTCAACAAGGTACTCGTCGTCGACAACCTCGGCTTTAACTTACTGAGCGTCACCCAACTCATGGCGAAAGGTATTCACCTGGAGTGCGACTCCGACGCCCTGGAGATTCGCCTCTACCACGGAAAAGGAGGGGTCTTCATCGGCTGAGCAATCCAACAAGACGATGTGTTCGTCCTCGACTTCGTGCCCGACAAAGGTACCGCCGACAGCGACGGTATAGTTGCTCTCGCACCCTGGACGCATCCGCCAGATCTCGACCCAAGCTTCAACCCTGAAGGCTTCTGGTACTCTCGTACCATTCCCGAAGCTGAACGCACCAACGTGCTTGCCGTCCTGCAAACACAAGCAACAACACCCGAGTTAGCACCCGTCATCGCAACGACAACAACACCCATCTCAGCACCAACAACCACCGAACCTGCAGTAGAAGAACCAACCATCGTCGCGGAACAACCTCCCAAAACTCCACAGCCCGGTCCTTCCGTCGCGCCACCACCTCCCATCATCGATACGCCACCGACAGCCGCCCAACAATTAACACCAGCACCACGCGCCGTTCATCGAAGTGCAGCAACACACGCCGCCTTCTTCGCCAACTCCGACTTCTACCAACGCTCCGTCGGCCACAGCGCCTCCGAAGACATCTGGCATCAACGCCTTGGACATCCTGGAAACAAAACGCTTTACAACACAATACGAGCAGGAGTGTTAGACAAAAACGCCCTACTACTTCCCAACGGACGAGAACTCGAACGACCACGCGGTACTTGCTTCATCTGCCCGGAAGCAGATCTGCCTCACCAACCGTTTCCATCACATCACAACCCGAGCGCCCCAGTTTATCAACCACTCAAGAAAGTCTACAGCGACATCCTCTACATACCTCGAACTGAAGGTCGTGCAGATCTAAACTACGTCATCACCTTCATCGACGCCGCAACGCGATACGTCTGGCACGTAAACTTACCGTCACGCGACATGGCTCTAGAAGCCTTCACAGCCTGGCTACCTGTAGCTGAAAGAGAGTCGGGAGCGAAACTAAAGAGTTTTCAGTCAGATGGCGCAAAGGAGTACCAGTCCAACAACTTCACGTAGTTCTTGGCAGAAAGAGGCATCAAACGCCTCATCTCTCTTCCTTACGCTCACCAGCAGCAGGGTGTGGCAGAAAGGATGAATAGGACCCTGCAGACAACTATGCGAAAGCTGCTCTGTGGGACTCGACTGCCCAACTCAGAATGGCCAGCAGCGATGGACCACGCTGTCCTCCTGCACAACTTGCTGTCCTCATCGTCACTGCCCAACAACGCATCACCGCACCTGTTGTGGACTGGGAAGCTGGGCAACACAAAAATGTTAAGAGTTTTTGGGTGCATGGTACAGTACCGCCCACACACTGCACGCGCAGGAAGATTTTCGCAACGCGCACAGTGGGGTCTACACCTCGGGCGGGCAAAACATTACGAAGCCTGGCGGATCTTCGACGTCCACACAAAGGAAATAGTAGCAGCACGTGACGTTATCTTCTACGAGCGACTCACCCTCAACCATTACCTGGACAACATCGCACGCCACGTCGACCCCACCGGCGGATTTTCGGGCTCCCGAGCCTTCGTTTCACCCTCCGACGCTGCTGACTGGGAAGAAGAAAACGTCGACAACGCCTCCGAAGCTGCTGGACCACTTCCTTACTGCTCCGTCCCAATCCCCATGGACGAAGAAAATCCTCGCGACAGCAACAATGCCGACGTCTACTACCACTTCGCTGACACTGGTTACGGAACACCTCAACCAGTCAACACCGACACTTCAGAACGATACGGACCCGGATTCGCACCTGATCCTGAAGCGGGAGACGAAGCAGTCTATCCCGAGGATCCCCTGCTGAACCGTCACACACCCAGCGGACTCCAAGTCCTGGGACTCGTCGCTGCAGTGTACGGGACTTCGACGCCACCTGAAGAGCCTCGCTCTGTCAAGCAGGCTCTGGGGGGGAAACACAAAGAAAAATGGCGCGAAGCCATGGAAAAGGAGTTAAAAGCTCTTTCAGACCGCAACACCTGGAAGATCGTCCCTGCATCACTCGCACAAGACAGACCCATTCTCTCCGGAAAATGGGTATTCCGGATCAAAACCAACTCCGACGGAACCATCGAACGATTTAAAGCTCGATGGGTCGTTCGCGGATTCGACCAAGAATATGGTCGCGATTTCACACAAACCTTTGCACCAGTCAGTCGACACACTTCCCTGCGCATCCTCCTCGCCATCGCCGCCTCACGTCGCCGCCCACTCCGACAAATTGACGTCGCCAACGCTGTCCTGTACGCCCCAGTCGACGCCGAAATCTTCGTCGAACAGCCCCATGGATTCGTCAACGACCCTTCCCTCGTCTGCCAACTACTTAAATCGCTGTACGGAATTAAGCAGGCACCGCGACTCTGGCAGCAGTACCTGCACGTACGACTCAAACGCATCGGATTTAACCAATTGC